GAAAAGAGCGGCCGCGTAAGGACCACCGCTGAGGCGGCCACAAATACGCGGCCCGTGAAAGTGAGATTCAGAGAGGCTGTTTTGGGTACAACATTGACCGCTGGCCGCGATGGAAAAGCGCAGCTGCGGAATAATTTGCGCAGCCGCAATGGTATTTTCGCTGAGCGTACTTTGAGGTTCGAGGCCCTGCAAGTTAAGTTTGACTGAAGAACGCGGTCTGCGTCCAAATTACGCGACCGCGAATTAAGCTCACACGGACGCGGTGGAATTTATGCTGTCCGCGAAACAGGTCCCAGTCCAGATTCAAATATGGAGAAACGCGGGCCGCGGTCGTTATTATGCGGCCGCGATAGCTCAAGCGCGGACACGGTTAGAATTACGCGTCCGCAAAACTTACGCAAGGGCATTTTTGTCCGAGAATTTCAGCCTAGTATAAATAGATATTTTTCACATTTTTAGGTTAGGTTATGTTTTGCTGAGTACGTGAGACGACTAGTTTTACCTGTTTGGGCAATTTTGTACAAGATTTACCTTATAACTTTAGATTTTCATCTTTTAATATAGTATTATATATTTTATCTCCTCTTTATCTTTGATTTCTGCTGTTATTATGAGTAGCTAAACCCATAGCTAGGGTTGGGGCCAAACCCTAATGTGGGTATTTAATGGGTCTTGAATTTTAGGGCTCAATTGTTTATGGGTTAGTGATATTTAGTCTGATTCATGCTTTAATTATAGAATTTGTGGTTGCAAACACTGATTTGTGCCTTGATGACTTAGATTCTTCTTGAGAAAGAGGGACTAAGTCTAGGAAAATTAGGCTAACAAGGAATTGGGGTGAATTCAAGATATTGATAGCCCCAATTAAAGGGTTAAACGCAGAGATAGTAATACCCGACTTGAGCCAATATCATTTGTTATGCATGAACACCCATTTGGACTTGAGAAAGTCAAATTGGGTAAAGTCACTCAAACTACCGAGAGGTATAGAGTGAGCACTTATGTGTGATGGTTATATCACGACCCCAATCATAACAAGCTTGCCCTGAATTCTTGATACCCGTTAGATACCCACCTAGGCAAAAGTCACTACCCTAATGCCTTTTTAACACTTGAAAAATCCCACCAAAAATAGTGTACTTAGCTTATTATAGCATATTATAATATAGAATTAGAAGTATAATCAGTTGTGACCATGTTTGGAGGTGCAATTTGGAACAACACGCACATCCAGATTAGTTAGATACCCAACTCCAAATCAATTAACTCCCTGTGGAAATCGATCACGACCTTTGTTGGGTAAAACTGCATCGACCATCCTTGCCACTCGATAGTGGTACAGGCTTGGAACCGATCAAAGAGCAATTTTCAATTTGGAAGCTTTAAGCTGGAAGGGTTAATTAAAGTTTAACTTTTGCGTAAACGATCTATGACTGAGAATTTGATGGTTCCAATAGGTTGGTGATTTGGACCTGGGCGTATGTTTGGATTTCGTTTTGGAGGTTCCTAGAAGATTTTGACTCGATTTGTTGGAAGTTTGTAATTTGAGAGTTCTTAAGTTTGATAAATAGTTGACTTTGATGTTATTGGACTCGAATGATTGTTCCAGGGACTGAGGTTAGGTTCATGTTGTTAATATAACTTGTGTGCAAAGTTTGGTTGAGATCCGAAATGTCTAAGGATGATTTGGACGCATTCGGTGGAGATGGAAGTTAAGAGAGTTTAAGAAATTGAATTTGATCTTCAAATCCTGGTTTTGGTGTTGGAATTCGTGTTTCGAGCCTTTGGACAAGTTTGCATAGGGTATATGAACTTGTTAGATTGATTAGACGGGCCCCCTGTACCTCGGGTGAGTTTTAGGGTAGTTTCAGACCACTTCTGGGCCTTTTTGAGTTGCTGATAACTGATACAACGTTATGAATTGCGATCGCGTAGGTCTGGGCCACGTTCGCGAAGATCAAAGTGCATTTCGGGGCTTGTGAATAGTGATCGCGGAAGGAAGGATCGCGATCACGTAGAAGGACATTTCTGTTGTCGGTGGTATGACTCTGGGAGCTTATGAGGGTGTTTGGATTGACTTATAAAAAGTAGCTTTTAAGCTAAAAGCCAAAAGCCATAAGTTGGTAATACCCAACTTTTGGCTTTTGGCTTATTTTTGTACTTTTTATACCTAAAAGTAAGTGCTTTTAAGCACTTTTTATCATTGCCAAACACCACACAAACTAAAAAAGTGTTTAAAAGCCATTAAGCACTTAAAATAAGCCAATCCAAACACCCTCTATATCTTGCAACCTATAAGGAATTTGGGAATGATCTAACGGATAAAAGTTGTAGCCCTTTGAGTCTAGTTTTCAGAAAATTATACCGCCTTACAGTGGAGCAGGTGATCAATTAAAATTTGGGGAAATTTTGCGCCCTAGTTGAGAGAGTTGGGAGAGAAGTAGGGCTGTTCATTCGGATCGGATATCCGAAATCCGAACCGATCCATTCAATTTCGGATTGGATCGGAATTCGGATTGTGTTTATTAAAATTTCAGATTTCGGATATGATTCGGATTGGTATATTTTAATCCGATCCGATCCGAAATCCGAAATTATTAGGGCATGTATAAATACTACACTTTAATTTCGGATAGTCAGTACTTCCTTTACATCTTCCTCCAAGCTATTACCTTTACAATTGCTGGATTTAGCTATAGTGGCACCATAGTACTCTCATAATTGCATAAGCATGAATTTTTCTTAATGTATTGCCTCTTTTACAAAGAAATATACATATTAGTTTGCAACTTTGAGGCATAATAATACGATCCGAAATCCGAAATTCGAATTCGAAATGTGCTAAATCCGATCCGATCCGTGCACAGCCCTTGAGAGAAGAAGATCGACTACTTTGAATGTGGGGGAGAGAAAAAAAAAAGGAATTTTTACATTCCTATACCACATAGGAAACCTTTTTACCCTACATGTTTAAGGTTTGAGTAAATTACACTTAGTATACCAAATTACCAATCCTATACCATACTTAATTAAGGGTCTAATTAATGGGCTATTTTTACTCCTTAATTAAAGGTATCCATATCTAATTAATGGGCAGTTTTTACTCCTTAATTAAAGGTATCCATATATCTCACGTTTCTCTCTCCTTACCCCTCACCCCCTCACCCACGGTTTTACCCATACCCCACATTCTTTATTGTTCTTCATCCACGATTGCAAGATAAATCAACGAAATATGTCCTTGAGATGCATTAGCCAGCGAAATCTCATTATATTTGAATGTCGTGCCAATTTCCTCTGCAACAATTGTGGCATGTGATCTGATTTTCTGAAAGTCTACATGAAATCAAAAGTTGCAACAAACATTTTAATACGCCACGAACTAGCAAAACAATGAAAACAGATACACTTTAGTAGTTTTTTTTTTGGGTACCAAACAAAATTCCCTCTTCTAGAAAAGTCAAAAATGAGAAATTTATTGGTAAAGAGACTAATACGAAAAGTTGCCGACAACTTCTCCAAACGACTTAGAAATACTGACCGTTGAAGCCCTCACCTAGATTTACTGTTTGTCGTGTATTTGTAGTGTAATTGCAGTGTAATTGTAGTGTAATTGTAGATTTAGTGTAATGGATATGATCTGTTGAAGCCCTCACCTAGATTTACTGTTTGTAGTGTAATTGTAGTTAGTTTGTAGTTTATGTAGAACATTCCAAGATTAATTGTAGTCTAAAATGTAGATATAATGTAGACATGATTGTGGATGATGTGTTTCCTGTTTGCCCTATAACTGTAGGTAAATTGTAGTTATTCTTATATTAGGTACTTAAACTGTAGGTAATTTGTACATTCACTGTAGGTAAACTGTAGGTAAATTTGTTTGAATTGTAGAACTGGTTTTATACATAATTGTAGAGTTTTTGTAGTTAATAGTAGTTATAATATAGGATTCATGTACCGCTTCACACCATCTATCACAATATGGATATGATCTGTTGAAGCTCTCACCTAGAATTACATAACAAACAGCAATAAAAATATTTTCAATCATAAAATAGTTTATCTACAATTTATCTACAACGTATCTACAATTATATCTACAAATTATCTACAATCTACAAATTAACTACAATTTGTCTACAAATTATATACAATCTAATATTTGATTTCACGATGTATTTGATTTCTACAATTTTTTCTGTAGTATCAATTGATACTTGTTCTGCAATTGTAGAAATCAGGATACTGTAGCTTGCATTCTCATCTACTACAATGGCATCAACTTCAAAATCTCTAAATCTGCCATAATTATCCCAATCCCCATTAAATTGTAGCATGATTGCGATTTTGGACATGATTTGTTGTTGATGTTTTTTTTGGATTTCTAGATTGAAAGAAGAAAAGATGAAGAAGAGATATATCTGATCGATAATTTGATAGAAGCAACGACGAAGAACAGATTTTTTCAACTTTGAGTTGTTGAAACTCGAAAATTTTGAATTCTACAATTTGAATTCAGCTCGTCGAAACTCTTAGTAGTTGAATCTGTTCTTATTTTTAGGAGTTGTTCGTTCTTTTTTTTTCTTCAGAATTTGAATTGTAGTTCTGGAGAAAAAAACGCAGATGAGAAATCTCCTTTCCCTTTTTAAAAATTGAATTTAATGTAGAATCAATTATCACCAAGATTCTCTCCTTAATCTTAACGCGTTTTTAGGGAATATTCTGCTCCTTTAATGTCTAATAGTCGAATGGTACAAATTTTGTAGGTAAAATGTGGACTGGGCGGGTAATATACAAAATATGCACATTTTTGGTAATAAACTTTCATATATGGTATAGGAAGGAAAAAAACCCAAAAAAAAAATCAAATTTTAACCTACTTTTTAGTTTTTTGAATTTACTCCAAAAATTTTCTGTTTTTAATTTGGCCCTCAACCACCGTTAATCACCCCTTAATAACCAGCCCTTAATTCCCAAATCCTTACGGCATACTCGAAATGTCATTTCCAACACATTTTTCCAGTTACATCTCCCCGTACCCCCCAAAAAAATAAAGAAAAATAGTGAATTTCATTCACAAAGAAGTTACTCTGCTTTCCTGAGATCAACACAACACAAAACAGGTGTCCTCCTCCTACTCTCCAACTTCCACAGCATCGTTCTCCTCGAAACGTATCGCAATCGTCGAGAAACAGCATCAATTTGCGTGGCGGAGTTTGCTATATCAATCTGCGTAGTTAAGAGGAGAATTTTCACCTAAAGAAGAAGAAAATGCTAGGGGATGGAGCCCAAACCCCTAGTCGGTGAGTCTACTTTGAACACTTTTAGCTCTTCTTTTACTTCTTGTTATTCTATTTCTATAATTAGCTCTCGAAGGATTTACAGTGATGATTTTTTTTTGGGTACTAATGAGTTTTTGGCGAGTCAAAGAGTTTTGCATTGAAATTTTTTTGCTTTTGAAAAATATATTCGGGTTACACGACATATAAGTAGCTAAGAGATTGACAATTTTTTGTTTTTATGTATTGTATCGAAAAAATAATGCACTTGCCAAATTGATTTCACTAGCATTATGATTACGAAGGCGCTGAGTTAGGAGCTGAAATTTTGTGCAGTTGGAATCCCTATTTTCGATTACACAACGTACAAGTAGCTAAGAGATTCAGAATGTTTTATGTTTATGTTATTTAAAGAAATAATGCACTTGCTAAATTCATTTGACTTGCATTACGGATTACGAAGATGCTGAGTTAGGAGCTGAAGTTTTGTGTGGTCGAAATCCCTATTTGGATTACATTAACGTACAAGTAGCTAGAGAGTGAAGACTTTTGGGTTATGTTAATTTTGGAGAAATAATGAACTTGCTAAATTTATTTGACTAGCATTATGATTGTGAAGGCACTGAGTTAGGAGTTGAAATTTGTGCTGTTGAAATCTCTATTTGTACTAGACAATATACAAGTAGCCTGAGACAGAAGATTTTGCGATTATGTTGGTTATTGAAGAAATAATGAACCTGCTAAATTGATTTGAATAGCATTACCGATGGGAGGATGCTGAATTAGGAGTTAACCATTAGGAGTTGAAGTTTGTCTTGTTGATCTTTTTCATTTTCTTATGTCGCTGAAATCAAATCCTTAGTTGGAGGTACAAGTAGCTGGAGTTGATAGGCTTTCACGTTTATTTTGTCAATTAAATGAAGTTATGAATCTGCCAAGTTGAATTTCACAATGTAACGATTCCTAAGATGCTTACAGTTTCTTATCAAATTTGCTTAAGAAGTATCAACTTCTGATTTTGGCACTTACCCTTGATATTGGGTAAGTAGATAACAAATTTCTGGCATGCATTACCATGTTTCAAGTCAATATAGTTTCAACTTCCTTTGGAAATGAAATGATGGTGAGGCTTTTCCTTCAGCTGATCGGCATTGAATGATTAATATGAAAGGTTTGAAATGGCTTTGTTTTGCTCCTCATCAGTGGTTTTTTCTTTATTTTCTAGGTTTATGTGATACGTTATTGTGAATTGCGTAAGAGTATGATAGGGGAAGTGAAGGGTGTTATACTGTTCGCTTCTATTTGTGTTAAATGCCTTCTCAAATTCAAACTCCATGCAGGTCTGATTTGCTATGTATGGTGAAAAAGAATTCAAAGATGTTAGGGAAAACCATAGTGGAAGATGAAGAAACATCGGATGTTGAAACAGATCCCGTTTTCTGGCATGACATTATGGACGTGTATTTCATTCGTGGCAGGGAGTCTAGGGGGCGTCAGGAAGACGATCTTGTATTTTTTGTTAAAAAATTGGTACACTTCTTATCATTTTCTCCTTGTTATAGAGTTTTTGGGTGCAACCTGCTGAATCTGAACAACAATTTACTGAAATTGAATTACTATGAGGATATATTTTGGTGTATAGCATTTGCAGAATCACGGGTCAAATGAAGATGAATCTGTGAACTCGCCATACTTTGTACGCAGGTGGGCACCTAAGGTAAAAGCGACAAGTTTTTCATTGGGATTCCGTCACATGCAAATTGAAGTACTTCCTTCCATTTAAGGTGTCAATCATTTGAATGTGTGCTGTATATTCACTAGAATGTGATGATCTTTACAGTTCACTAAGCTTGGAAATTTGTACTGATCATCAAGCTTAGTCTTTCATGTAATTGAAGGGGTTTAGAATTCATTTAGATTTTCTTCTTTAGTTATCTGGACTTAGTTTAATTTGGATTTTAAGAAATTTCGCAGCCTAACGGTTAAGATGGATTGTAATTTGTCCTTGTTTCGCTAAACTTTCTTTAGTGCTTATGCATGAAGGTCGATTCTGATGATCTATATGTTAAAGAAAAAAATTAAGGTACTTCAAGATTCTGGATTAAGCCTGAAATAGAGACTTTAATCCAAGTATATGGGACTGGAAAATTACATCTATGATTTGAAAAGGGGTAGATGTTGGACGCCCTACATCTTGATTAACTGTTGCAAAAAAAAAAAAAGGTTATTGTTGCCAAATGCTACCTGGAGGAGTGGCAGTAAGGTGTTCCTATATTTTGGTTTTGCATGATAAGATGAGTTGTCTTCTTTCAAAATAGGCAATGCAGCAGTAGTCCTTGACTCCTTTCTAAATAGTGGTTGATGGTTGATCAATTTGCAACTGATGGATAGAAATACTAGAATTTCGCAAGTTCGTCAAAAAGCTGTAGCCTAATTTGCTGATTAGTAGTCAGAAAAGCATGTCAGTAAGAGCTCATTCAATTTCTGATGATTTCTCTTTGTTGGTTATCTTTTTATTTGGTCCGTATGTTACTTGGGGACATAGACTTTGGAGATCTTATCCTGGTTATGTTTTTGACTGGGAGCCAGTGAGCGCTGCAGAACATTTGTGGATGTGGCAGTATGCTGTGAGGACTTTCCATCTATTTGTGTTTTAAGATCATGTCACACTAAAAGGACTTGACATTCTTCATCCTGCAGAATGATGTAGATTTTCCTTTGGCAGAATATATAACTGGACCCTTAAACTTGGCCTTTTTTGTCACTTGGACACTTAAACATAGAGTTGTTCCTATCAGGCCCTTCAATAACCACATTTGTGCCAATTAGACACTTTGTAGACCATCTGAGAAAAACTTTTATAAAAATTAAACCTTTTTATTTTGAGAAATGGTTTCATTCGCGCTAAAGCAGCAGCATACTTTCAAGGCTGAAGGAAGACGCGTGTATTACAGTTGCCTCTAACACCTTAAAATATTCCACCTTATAGAATTAACCCCCAAAACAAACTGAAACTCATTTTCAGAAAATGGAAAACCTGACCGTTGGCTCTGGCGACTTAGTGCCCTAAAAAGCTCACTGAAAATTTCCTCCGTTCAACTTCATCTCACTTCTTCTTGTTTCGATTTCACTGAAATATCACGCTATTCTCTCTATTCCTCGTCTAAGTTGGTGTAGCTTACAAGTACCGTGTAAAGAGAACAAGCATGCCAAATAAGAATAGTCAAATCCATGTACACTAAACTTTCTTTTAAAAAAAAGGTAAGAGGAAATATGATGGGTTCACGGGAAGAAGAAGAGAAATAGAATGTAGGTTAAAAGTTAGCTTTAATTGGAATAATATATTAGAATATAATAATAATATAATAATAATCATCAATCTTTTTCTCATCTTCACGCGCCCTTCCCCACACACTCAATCATGTCACTACAAAGTGTCTAATTGGCACAGATGTGGTTTAGTTGAAGGGCCTGATATAGAATGTAGGTTAAAAGTTAGCTTTAATTGGAATATAATATTAGAATATAATAATAATATAATAATAATCATCAATCTTTTTCTCATCTTCACGCGCCCTTCCCCACACACTCAATCATGTCACTACAAAGTGTCTAATTGGCACAGATGTGGGTTTAAGTTTGAAGGGCCTGATAGGCAACAACTCTATGTTTTAGGTGTCCAAGTGACAAAAAAAGGCCAAGGTTAAGGGTCCAGTTATGTATTCTTCCTTTTCCTTTTGCATTCGTTTTGACTACTGTCCCACTTTACTTTTAAGTCTATTCCTACTTATATAGCACCGATGAGCAGGGGTGTTCATAAAAACCCGAAAAGCCGAAAACCAAACCAAACCGACCAAAAAAATCGATACTTTTTGGTTTGGTTTGGCTTTGGTTTTGAATTTTAAAAACCGATCAAATTTGGTTTGGTTTTGGTTTAATCAGAGAAAAACCGAACCAAACCGACTATCGGATAGCTAATTAAATTATTATTACACCTATATATATGTATATTTTATTACAAAGTTTCAAAAATTTTATGGTAAATGTTAATAGTTTGCCACTTTTAGTATAGTTCTTTACCTTTACATTCTAGTTTGATTGGTAGTTTTCTTTTGTTAAGTGTAAGAATCCATTTCATGTTAAAAATAATATATTTTTAATTGAGTCCTTAAATTATTTATCACTATTTGATTCAATTATCATCAATATATCTTGGTAAATAATAGATTTTTCAAAGGGCAATTGATTTGATACTGTTCCGTTGAAAATGTGGTGGCCGGAGTATGTGTTTAGTAGTATATTTCTTATATTTAAGAAAAAACCGACAAATAACCGAAAAAATCGAAAAACCGACAAAACCCGACATAAACCGAATCGAGAAAAAACCGACTTAATTGATTTGGTTTGGTTCTAATATTTGAAAAACCGACTTACTTGGTTTGGTTTCTTTTTAGAGAAAAACCGATCCAAACCGAACCATGAACACCCCTACCAATGAGGAAGTATATTTTAGGAAAGGTATAGGTTCTCAAGTTCTCTAAATTTATGGTTTAACATCTTCTACTTGCTTACATGATATATTTTATTAACTGATTAAGTAATGCAAAGTGCCAAATTTTGATATGAAAAATGTAAGATACAGTGATCAGATAATAATTCATCCAGATTCCACGTTCACTTTTCTTCTTATCTTCAAGTTTTATTAATCATGGGTGTCCTGGGCCTGGGTTGATATTATCTAAAGGACACATTCTTCACTCCAACATTGATGACAATATTGATGTTAAGAATTTTATTTGACAATAGCTATAGAAATTATGTAAGTGAAAGAGATGATGGTTTCTCTAGCTTCGTTGCTTGGATAAACTAGTGTTAAGAAAGATGAATGAATTAAGACAATTGATTGTTTGTTTAACTTTATATTTGATTGTGGTTATGCTAAAGGTGAGATTGATAAAAAACAGTTAGTTATTTACCTTCGTCAGAATATAATAGATGATATAAGATGTTTCCAAAGGTGACAAATTTCTATTGTTCATTATCTTCCTGGCAGTTGGATGACTTAACTGGCGCAAGTTCATCAGATGTTGATTGGAGGCGCTCCTTTTACTTGAACTTAATTGCTCAAACTTCTTTTAGTGTGACGGTGGCAATTTGTAGGTACTATTGCTTATTTCTCTTTGTTCCATGATGGGCTGTCTAATATTCTATTTCACATGGTTGTGATATCTCTTTGACTGTACTCAGTGTTTTATGAGAGAAAGAAAGTTTGTGTGACTCTTGAGTTATTCATGAACTCTGGTTAATAAGGGAATCATCAGAATAACGCCTATAAAATTTTTGAGTATCTTCTCAAATATTCCTGTTATTTGGTTTTTGATAAAAGAGGAACTTCTGCTGTTAATTTAACTTTTGCCAGGATGTACAGTGTTGTTTAATCAGATGTTTATTGTATCAGCTAAAGCTTAGCAAACTTTTAGTATTCTCTTTAATGGTTTTTTCCCTTTTCCCTTTTTTTTTCTTGGTTGTTGTAGTCAGCAGGTCCTTAAGAATTACCAAACTGGCAAAGACAAACCATTATCTCCTATATACAAGGCAAGTACGCAGATCAGAAATTTCATATTAGTGCTCATATTACTCGGATTTGCATTACTATTCAAGCAGTAGTTGTGTAATAAAACCTGCTCCCACTTTTATTACTGTAGCAAGCCAAGTAGAATCTTTGTGACATGTTGGGTGCTTGGCTCATTCTATTTTAGTTTTCTTTCCTCAAAGATTCACATTAGTGAACGGCAAATCTGGGTTTATCTTTTATTTCTATGCCTTTTCAGGTTATCAAAACTGTCTATGCGTCTCCAAGTCGTATCAATTTTCACTTGGACTCAAGGAAGGCAAGTATTTCTAACATCTAGAGATCCATATGGCTCCTTTTATGCTTGATTAAAGTGTCTTCTGATGACATTATTGATATACAATCAGGAAGTAGAAACGACCTCTGCCTACCCAGAGATATGTTTTGCAGTTGATGACTTTGATTCCACTTTTGATGCAGTGGTAATACATCTACTCTCACACCACTTTTGTTAAGTTGCTATGTGGTAAAATATATATTTTAGTGACTCACAGAAAGGTATAACATACAAGAAAGTGTGTTGGTAACTTCGAAGTTCAAAGATTGTTGCCCATTCTCAGATACTTTTCAGGCTGTTGGATTTGGATTATCAGAGCAGTTAATCATTCTTGGTTTCCATGTTTACTCTAACATCTCATTTGCATTAGATGTTTAAGCAACCAATTACCTCTTGAAGGATCACGGTGGTCTATCATTTTGCTTGTAATCCGTTAATCACTCTTGGTTTTCATGTTTACTTAACATTTCATTTGCATTAGATTTTCAATCAAACAGTAACCTTTTGAAGGATCACGGTGGGCTACTATTTTGCACGTAATCCGTGTATAATGAAGTAGGCATTTTGGACATCTTTTGAAGTTTCAGACTTCAAAATACCTTCATTTGATAATACTAGAATTCTGTACCTATAGCTTGTGTTCATGTTCTAGAAATTCTAGAAGCTTTTGCTGCATCTCTCAAGTCGCTGACAGTTGAAATTTGCAGTATCTGATCTTCCAAAGATGTTTTTAATCCTAATTTTGCTCTATCCACCTTATGCAATTTTACTACTTTGGTTTCTTTTTCTGTTGGGAAGAATATCTGGTAATTTGCCAACCAGATCCTAATTGTCTAGTGATTCTCTTCCATGGGTTTTTAAATGATGAAAATTATGGTATGCTTCATGAAATGCAATTTTTGCTTCACGCTCAAAGAGTCCTGCAAATCATGTTGGCGATTCTATTGTTGCCACCTATATAATTACCTTTTCTCAAAAAAAAAAAAAAAAAAAAATCAGGAGTATGAACCCCCTTTAGCAGTATTACTGCTGCTTAATTCTCAAAGACTTGAGTTGTCCTCGGAGCATGATTAAAGACATTGGTACAATAGGTTGACATTATCATTCAATACTTTGATATGAAGAGATAATTGATGCCATGAATGACACCCTGATGGAGCAGTAGAATAGATGACATTGGGATACTCATTCTTGTGTTTCCCTAGTTTCCGGAAAGAACAAATGTTGCTTAAATTTTGTCAGAGATTGATTTCTCCCATTAAATTGGGAGGAGACATGAAATCCGAGGCATCATTCCGTGAAATGACAAGTCTGATGATTGCTTCCTCTCTCACTTTTTGATGCGACAACAACTATAGAAGCATTGCAAATTATCTTTCTTTCAGGTCTTGACAGATGTAGATCACTGCTATTGTGTACTTTTAAATGCACATGATGGGGCTGCATTCCCGAGCGAGAGAAAACAACAGGACTACAGTCCTGCTAATTCTTCAAAGAGTGATACAAGTTCTGGAAAAGTACCAACTTCAAAGGTTCGAGAAATTGATTTTCTTTCGAAGTGAATAGCATCTGTAATTCTTGCTTTGGTGCTTTTAGTTTGTAATGACATGCTGTAAAATTAAATTACAGCATTTTGAATTCTACTCTATTATTTGTTAAAGAAATGGAAACTTGTGTAATTAATATAATTGACAGCACTTCTATTAATCATGCAAAAGTGTTCATCTGTTTACCTGCCTCCTAAAGGAAAACTTTAGAGAAGCCAAGCAACCCAGTGATGATGCTTTTTATGAGGTAAATGGAATATATCGTCTTTGGGCTGCTTGGCTTCCCAAAAATTTTCCTTTAGGGATGATGTATTTGGTCGTTTGTCCTAATTTGATGTCTTACCGCCCACCTTCTCTACAATCATATTTCCTTTCACTTGCACAGCTTAAAATTAAGCACTTACATTTTGCTTTTTCAAATGTTTGAAAGAGTTTTGATTATGTTTTCTCTTGCTTGCAAGCTTCTTGACAAGGTATTTTCAGGTCCTCATTTGTTGACATTGACTTTATTTTGTATTTATCGTATAATCGTAGTTCTCATGAAAATTTAGTAGTGTGAAGTTCTTGGCTTCTTGACCGTTTGTAATGTGATTCCAGATCACTCTTTTCTCAGGCTTCGTTAGCTATCAAATGGTCCGAGATGCATATGATGGTAAACCTGCTATTTCAACATGTGGTCTTCATTTACACTAATTGTTTGTCGTTTCTTTTAGTTATGCTGCCTAATCAATTTTAAACGTGAAATGATGAACCATAGACCTTTTCCACTTTGCATGTTCCTCTTGCACTCTGTTGTAGACCAAAATGACCTGTGTAGCAACTAAGACAAGATTGCTCTGATGTGAAACTGATAGGGAACATTGTGAGGATTGCATTTCATAATATGACCTTACGATCTTCGATCCTCTCTTTGCCATCAAAAGTGGTACTAGTTGAAAAGATAATTTAATGAATGAAACATTGCATCGAGTTTTAAATTCATCTTTAAAAGTTTTTTGAACTCTTGAGACTTTAAAAAGTTGGAAAAATAATATAATTGGTGGAATGGGTACCCTTTCTGCAATGTATTGCATTATCTTAGTGGTTGTCTTCTTCTTATTATAAAGTTGGTCGCTTACTTGTCTAAATTTTTTTTGTAGAACTGCATCAAAATAGGAAGTCTCACATCAATTAGGATGGGGGAGTACTTTCTCAAAACAAAGATTAGGAATTTTTTTTGGGGGGTGGGGTGGTGATCATTTAAGGGGTTGATGTCACAATCACAGCTCTGCAATGCTGATTTTTAAGTGAAAGAGTTGATGTAGTAAATGATCAAATTTCAGTTGCAGGTTGATTTCCTAGTCCTGTGTTTATGGCAGTTAAGTGGAAAAGGAATTCTGGTAATCTAATTGTTTACTCCTTTTATGTTTGATCGCAGCTGGAAGGTCTGGATTTGGGAGCCTTCTCTCACTTCATTCTGTCGGGAAAACTGACAGAATTTACATGAAAGGCCCTGGAGGACGTGGGGAAGTTGAAGTAGCTGTGTCTGGTGTTGTAGGTAAACTGAAAAACAGTTACTGCTTCATCATATCGTACCGCAAACTTTGATCTCTCTTTGTGGGCTATGTCATTTGATTTCTTGCTATAAACTTGGTGGTTGGTTAACTACTTGAAGAGTAATTTATTATATCTTCTCAATTTTGCTCAGTTGATTCAATAACTCAAAAAGGCCAGTAATTAGATTTTATTTGGATAATTTCTTAGAATATTAGAGAAACCTGAATATTGTGCTAGTATGCATGACATTCTTGCAACTTTGATGCATTTTAGTGGGTCAGTCCATTTATGCTGTCGTTTTTTGAGCTAGAAGATTTTCTTTTGATACAAATCAATGTTGCAACTGTAATTGTTCACTTCAGCTGCAATCAAATGTATTAAATTGTTTAATTTTTTCTTCCAGCCGAAGTAATGAATATTGTATGCCCTAATATTGATTGATCTATTTAGACCTTCTGCAAAGTTAATAATCGTGCTTTTACTTCTCTGTGTATCAGATCAAAGCAAGCAGGACTTCAGCCATCAATCTGTAGATAACGACTCTAGAAAAGGATTAAGCTTCAGTGCTGTTGTGCGACGAGCTGCATCAGTTGCATCAGAGGCAGCAAAGCATGCATATGCTGCTGCTTCTGCTACCCGAGATGAAGGAATGATCCCCCTTAAGTGCTGCTTGATGTCTATATCATTACCTTGGGAACATATTGCTCATGATCTTTTGTTCAAGGTGAGAGCTATTTCAATAAGCACATAGTTCTTCCTTCAGATTAACGTGTTTGGTTATTTTTTTCACTGGAGTTCCTTTCATGAGTAGAGCCCTGAATGAAGTTTCTTGTTTCCATTTCAGGGAAGTCCTCCAGTTAACCTGTAAGAGTGCCTTGTGGATTTCAAAGAGGACCGTATAATCTCTTCATCAAACTCAATAGAATAATAGGACTTAAAAAGTTTTTGACTCCAGAGATGGAGAAGACTAAAGAACGTTACAGGAAGGCGAGATGGCTGCTACATTATGAACAGAAAAAAGTGGTGATAATATGTATATAAGTTGCCTATCCCCATTTCCCCCACAAGATTTGCTTCCCATGCACAGCATATTAGCAGATATCGAACTGTTGTGTTGAATTGGCGTGTTATTTGCTATCTACTTTTGTTCATTATAAACAAATGCTTTTAGTTTAGCTACCTGAGATTCATTTATTGCTCTATTTTTCTTCTATCATGGTTGACTGATTTGACTCCCATTTAAAAATAGGCACAAAATTCCAAGGGAATGGAGGATTGGACTGGCTATATATGTACAAAGATCCGTTATAGACAATTGAGGTCGTGTGTGTTGGGGTTGAGATATAATGCGAAACTGTGTGACATCTTGGGGTCATAGCGGGATTCCTTTGCGTGAACCAATATTGAATACTATGCGTTTTTGTTATCTTTATCTTTTTGCTTATTAATTTTAGTAGTTTGGGTCGGTCGTGGTATTCTTTTTTCGTTTTGAAATTTCTTTTTCTGGTTAATGAAATTGTACAATTCACTTGAGTGATTCTGGGTGGTCAATCTACACCATCCAATTTGATATAGCTTACAAAGTAGATGATTCAGATTCGAGTTGTAAGACACCTGCTCCACCAAGACTTGCACCATTCAAGGATAAGCTCTGTTTGTTTAACAATTTTCGTTTGATAATGCTAATGTCTGGGCCAGTTTGCGCATACCTCAGACTTTTTTTGTTGGGTACGTGCTATCTCTTACCAACATAAAGAAGTATTGGGTTATTCGGGTTCAGTTCTTCCCTTAGAAAATAATTCTCTGCATCTCCAATAGTAAAAGTCTTTCAACCCCCCCCCCCCCTCTCCCACCGTCCCACCACTAACACT